CGAGTATACAGAAACCAACAAGAATTTCCCAGATTTCTTCCCAATTTTCATATCTCGGCCGCACACGTAGTTGACCATGTGCATATTTTCCCACTCTGGAATGACGGTCCATTTATGGGGCTAGTTCAAGGACGAATGTATTGTGATTTACTGTTAGATGGGAACGATCTCAGAGACCTCCTCGTGGTGTTCCTGGAAACTCAACTATAATGTTTATTTCTTTTTCTAAGTTTTATGGAGGGCCTCTACTTAGATGAGTGCTGCAAAATATGCTCGCTTTCCTCAGCTGAGCTCAAAAATTTCCTCAGCAGTTTGTGTACGAATCGGGAAAAAAAGTGTACAGAAACTGGCCAAATTTCCTCAGAGTTTTGTTATTGTCGCCAACACATGTGGTTGATTATATGCAAATTTTACGACACAGACTCAGATTATCTCCATTTGAGTGGTTTCACAACACCCTAGTTTATTGACCTTCGTGGTTGACCTGGTGTTATAACTAGGATGTTGTATATAGGAGATGAAGTTTAGAAGCGCCACGGGTTTGATAAACCAAACCTCCATATTTCTGAACATAATATTAGTGGTTAGAGTAAATCCATAAATAAGGAGTTGAATTCACTCAAGGCTTGTAGTGAAAGTATATAAAAACTAATAAGAATTTCCCCAAATTTCCCTCAGAAAAAATTTCGTACTGTCGCCAACACACGAAGTTGACCATGTGTATTTTCTAATAAGGTGCTTCGAGTTCCTCAGCTTCAGCGACAGCAGCTTCATTGAGTGATCTCCCACCGGAACTGCGGTGGCCTGTGGTTGGTGAACAACCGGCCGTCTTGGAGTTGTATAAGGACCTGACGTGGATGCGATCAGGTGAGAAGGGCTGGTGAAATTTTTATTTTTGGTGAAATTGTGGTAATTCAATTGATATAAAAAATGGAGTTTCACCCTAGTGATATGAAAAAAACATATTTCGTAGAGCAACTGTGTTTTCGGTTAAGAAGACTTACACGTCTCGATTTCATAAGAAGTATTACGACACTTCACGTTGAGCGGGTGAAACTCAAATATAAAATGTGTGCCAATTTGATATGTAAATGTGTGTTTTCTATTGCCGAGATTAATGATAGTAAACAACTTGTCGCTATCACAGTCGGAGGAAGGTTACTTTTATAACATCACATGTTCATAGCAATTCTTAACGCATATTTGCATATCAAATTGACACGCACTATATCAAAGGGAATCTTAGGTTCAGAGGTTGTAGATACGGATTAGGTCCGATACTGTACATTTTCAATATCAGATTCGCCATCGAAACCAGCTGTTGTTGTTGTTGCCACACCTCCGCCATCATCGTGCGTGGTGAGTGTTTCCCCTGTGCTCAGCTATTTTAGTGATTTTATCAGGGCGATCGTCGGTGTTCAACGGGCGTGGTTGTTAGAGGTGAGAAACAGATGGTCACCAAAAAATTTGGGGAAATTCGACTATGAGTTTCAACATTATTCGTGGTGAAAAAAATTACATGAATTTCGATAAAGTGTAGATAGTGTAATTGTGAAATGTTATTTTTATGAATTTGCCGGGAAAAATTTTCGCGATTTTTGCGACCTATAGGTGCTGACGGTGATCGTGGAAGTCCGGCGATGATGATGCTGAGCGATGCTGATGAGAGGGATGAAGATTCGGGTAGGAAGCCTTACAGTGTGTGCCAATTTGATATGCAAATGTGTGGTGTTATTTGCCGAGATTAATGAGAATCAATGTGAAACTATATCGCATATACAATGTAACAATGGCTATGAACATGTGTTGTGATGAAAGTACCCGCTTGGAATTGTTCACTATAATTTGTCCTCCAAAGTAACACACATTTGCATATCAAATTCACACACACTGTATAGAAAACCAATCGATAAAATTCTAAAAATAGCATTCAGGAGAATTTATGGATCACTTTTTCGTACCTGAATTCACACGTACTGTGTCCGATTTGGAAGAAGTCCACAAAGAGTGTGTATCAATTTTTTATGCAATTCTGGTCTTGATGGTGAATCTGATATCGAAAATGTACAGTATCGGACCTAATCCGTATCTACCAACTCTGAACCTAAGATTCCCTTTGATATAGTGCGTGCCAATTCGATATGCAAATATCCGTTAAGAATTGCTATGAACATGTGATGTGATAAAAGTAACCTTCCTTCGACTGTGATAGCGACAAGTTGTTTACTATCATTAATCTCGGCAATAGAAAACACACATTTACATAATAGTGCGAATCAGGAACACCATATTCGTCTGTGGCGAGCGCTAATGCAAACATCGGTAGTAGTAGCAGCAGCAGTGATGATGATGATTATGATGATGATGATGATGATGATGATGATGATGATGATGATGATGATGATGATGATGATGATGATGATGAAATGTTAGTAAGCAGTGGAGAGTCGTCGGTGAGAGGGGACCTGTTTTGTATCTTACCATGCGGGACCTTAGATACGTCTATGTGCTGTTCAGCATTCGTACTGGTGTTATTAGTAATCGTCGTAGTTTATCGGAGTTTCACCACCACCCTAGTGATATGAAAAACAGTAGTGGAAAATATATTCCACAACTACTGCATATCACCGCGAATATTTCACAGAGTAAACTTCAGTCAGCTAGGTATTCCTACAGTGCAAACTGAAGATTTCCGATATGGCTTTTTCCAATTTAGGAGTACGAATATATACTACGTAACGTTTCTAAAGCGTTGGTGTCAATCGATTCACATCGTTATCGAGTTGATTCTCGAGCTTGCAAAAATGGAAGGCGTTGAAAATACTACTAACTGCATCACGGTTTGGTTTTCACACTGTAGGACTTGTGTATTTTCTCATTAAACCAATTTAATTTTCGAGCGAATATATTTTCATGTCAGGTGGAGCGGGTCCCCAAACGTCAGTGTGGTGGTGGTGGAGGAAAGAGAGTGCGAATAGCATCACCAGCAGCAGAAGGTATCCAAGGTTCCCCATTGCAAGATACGGATTAGGTCCCTTTAGATATCATCCAGCGCCGCTCGTCGCTGATCGAGCAAGGCGTGGTGGTGGAGGCCTTTAATACTGAGTTGTCCGACATCTTTGCTGTTGAAGTGAAGCCAGCGAGATCGGCTCGCTACTTGAGATGGTTTGACAAGAAGTCGATGGAGAGGGACAGGATTGGACCGACTAAAGAGGAGCTCTCAAAGGTGAGGAAAATATGAACATGGTCACTCACATGTGTTAGTGACTGTTGTACTTGAACTCGATATCAGATAGATGGGAAAAGAATAGAACATACAAGAGTAAGAGGAAAACCATAAGCTGGAGCTAAGATAGCTGCACAGCGTAACACAACTGTCATCAATAGTCAGATTAGCAAGTAGTGATCGATTATACGGGCGTGCGCTATATCAAGTGCCCGTATATGTATCACAGTGACAGTATGGAAATTGTTGTTGGTTTACCCGGCTCCCTTCCTCCCCGGCGTTGGGTCGTGGGCCGGAGGATGACACTATACACGTGTGATCCTCGGCCAATGTGAAGGGCCAACCTCACACGTAACGGGAGGTGCTACACCACATCGCTAGGGTGGGCGGGAGGTTGGAAAAAGGACGACAAATAACAATAAACAGAGCCAAGGCTGACTTTGAATCACTGCTAATAGCGCTAAGTATTGTGTCGTCGCAACGTGTCTGTCTCTTCACACACGCCGGAGACCGTCGCCGAGTAAACTGGCCTAACAAGTTGATCTCGATTTTGTGTACTTCTAGACGAATTCGTATGTAAACTTCTGAACTCAGTTGAGGCGATGATTAGAAGTAATGATAGAGAAATATGCGAACGGAGATATGAGAAACGGAAAGTAGAAACGCTACTGATACCAACACCAACCGAGACGCACGCGCGGCGAAGATTACCAAGGTTCACATATTATTTACAAATCACGCGGTATGTGTCGCGAGAGCTCAACGGCTGCAGTCGCAGTGAAAAAGTTTTAACGAATGAGTATATGAAAAATGCGCTACTTTGCAATTTAACAAATGAATAAATCATTTATTCATACCACTCCATTTCGAATTCCCTCACCGAAGATTCAAGGTAGGCTCTCTCAGGCGCACATGCCTCTTCATAGGAAGATCTTCTTCCTCATGGAACAGCAGCTACCCGGGAGAGATCTGCCCACCGCACCGATTGAGCTCTTGGGGTCTACTTTCGGCCGATCTAAGCTCGAGGCGCTGGAGGTGAGCATACATGTTGTTGCTGCGAATATTGATTTTTATGTTCATTGGAGTTTCACCCGCGATATGAAAAACACTAGTGAAAAACATATTTCAGGACTACTGTGTAGCGCGAATATCATCGCGTTTTTCACCGAGTTTTACGACGCCACTTCACGTAAAACGGGTCGTGAAACTCCATTGTATAGTTTCACATTGATTTTCATCCACCTCGAAAAAATTACACACAAATTGGCAAGCACTGTATTCATATAGGAGGACTCGGTGGTCGCGTGGGTGGCCAGCCAGGACCCCACTTCTATGATTCATCGTATTTGCGCTGCTGCAATCATCGGATGCAACGGGCGGAGCGAAGCGGGTCCGGTTAGATTTATTATTCGGCTATTCACGACGGCTAAGGAGGTGACCTTCGGACGAAGAAAGGTGAGAAAATACTTTTCGTTTTTATGTAGAAAAAAGTTCACACTGGAGTTTCGCCACCCTAGTGATATTAAAAACACTAGTGAAAAACATGTTTAACGAGTAATGTATATCACCACGAATATCATCGCGTTTTTCGCAGAGTATTACGCCACTTTACGTAAAACGGGAGAAACTCCAGTGTTGAAGGGATATATGCTTGTTAAGCTGACTTTGGCAAGTTACATACGATATCGCATAAGAATTTCCTCAGATTTTTCATATTGTCACCAACACTCGTGGTTTTCTCACTCAGTGCACGATTTTACGGTGTTGGAATATACGTTCACTTTCCTTCACAGCAGTTTCCTCAATAATTTTCATATGAGTTCGGGTAGAAGTAAATAGAAATCAAAGAAATTAAAAAAAAATTACAAAAATTTTTGGGAAAAATCATTTTTTACCAAAATTTCATCGAATTTTTCTACAGTCGACTATGTGCATATTTTCAGGTGAAAATTCGAGGCTATGGTTGGGGTAAGCTACTCCTACAAGAGATCGAACGCCACTTGGTGGCACCACGGAACTGCCCTTACCTTCTCGTTGAGAGTGTTGCTGATGCATGGCGGTACGCAAAAATGTACAGTATTGGACCTAATCCGTATCTACCAACTCCGAACCTAAGATTCCCTTTGATATAGTGCGTGTCAATTTGATATGCAAATATGCGTTTAGTATTGGTATGAACATGTGATGTTATAAAAGTAACCTTCCTTCGACTGTGATAGCGACAAGTTGTTTACTATCATTAATCTCGGCAATAGAAAACACACATTTACATATCAAACTGGCACAACTCGGTTGTTGACTTGTTTTTGCGTCTTTTTGTTGTTGAGGAATGAAAAAAATAAAAAATGCACTGCGAACTTTCTGTTGAAATTTTCGCCTAAAATTTGGTAATTCTGTGGTAAAATTTTATAATAGATTTGATTCATTTGGCAGAAAAATTGTATAGCAATTTTCATATATTTTCAGAAAATTGTTGAATTTTTCCGTAATTTTCTGAAATTTTCCGTAATTCTCCGTAATTTTCCGTGATTTTCCGAAATTTTCCGTAATTTTCCGAAATTTTCCGAAATTTTCCGAAATTTTCTGTGATTTTGCGGATTGCTTATACTGTATATGAACTTTTTAATTTTGAGTCAACGATGTGGTGGGGAAATGGAAAGAAAATTTTCCCGGAAAAAAACAAACGGCAAATGAGGGGAAAATTGGGTGGATTATTTTTCGGGAAAATATGCACATGGTCAACTACATGTGTTGGTGAGAATATGAAAATTCTCGTTGGTTTTTGTACACTTATACTACCCGAATTCGTTTGTAAACTCCTGAGCTCAGTAGCTGAGGAAAGCGATTACATATATTCCTACTCCAACACTGTATAGGAAACTCCTGAGCTCAGTAGCTGAGGAAAGCGATTACATATATTCCTACTCCAACACTGAAGTTTCACCCGTTTTACGCGAAGTGGCGTTATACTCCATGTGAAAAACACCTGTTTTGCGCGTTATTCGCTGTTCACATGCGTTTTTCGCAATACGGGTGAAACTCCGCTGATTTTTTTTCTAAGGTACTGGGCGAAAATGGGTTTCGAATTAAAGAGTTCTCGAGGGTCTCCCACTGCTGCTAGCAGCAGTAGCAGTCCTGACGATGAAAATGCCGATAATATCACCGCTCAAATCGGCCGGTATAATCAGACCCTCATAGGCTCGAAACGCGTCCGTTCGTTTCGGCGTTTTTAATGGCTTTTGCAATGCGGTGATGTGTTTGGTGTTGATGCGTTAATTTAGGGCGAGCGAGATTGTAAATGCGCTGATGGGAGGCGGAGCGAAGCGATTTTTGTTTGCCATTTTGCAACTCCAATTTGGATGACGGTGTCGGGAAATTGGAAATATTTTTTTTCTATTTATTGTTGAAAATATTATTGGGACTATCAGTTTTTTTGCAAAGTACTATTTCGATGTTGGAATGTATGTTCGATGCAGAAGTTTCCTCACTAATAATAGGAGTTTACAAATTCGAAGAAGTGAAAACCAAATTTCTAAATTTAGTTGATCGCGTTATTATTTTTCCTCTCACTGATTTTTCACCGCTTTTTTACACAGATGGTATGTTGCTATTGTAATATCAGTTCGGTTCGGAAAAGTTTCTCATTTTTTTTCTATTTTTTACTGCGAAAAAACTAATGAAAAAATAGTAAAAATTAGAAAAAAAAATAGTATATTTAGTGATATGAAAACTATATTTCACGACTACTGCATATCACCGCGCGCGTTTTTCACAGAGTATTACGCCACTTCACGTAAAACGGATTTTCAAACTTTCATCGTGTGGTTCGAATTTTGGTCAGTAATTGCTTTTATCATCATAGCAATGTACCGTCCCAAAGGAAGGGTTATGTTGGCGACTACTACAGAGCCTCGCGAGGAAGAGAAAGTAGATGTTGATTCTACTCGGGGAAAAGGAAGCAGTAGAGACAAGCCATCCTCTGTGGTACTATGGGGTGATGATGATGTTGTTGTTGTTGTTGTTGTTGTTGTTGTTGTTGTTGTTGTTGTTGTTTCTGTTGTTGTTGTTCCCGTTGTTGTTGTTGTTGTTGTTGTTGTTTCTGTTGTTGTTGTTGTCGATTTGGTAAAGCGAATTAGTGACGTTTATGGGCAAATATCGTCGATGGTGGAACAAATGAACACTTATAAATCCATATGTCATAAACATTGGAGTTTCAACCGTTTTACGCGAAGTGGCGTAATACTCCACGTGAAAAACGTGATATTCGCGATGTGAAGTGAATTGAAAACACATGCGTTTTTCGCGAAGTGAAGTGTGAAATGTGTTTTTCACATCACGTGTGAAACTCAAAATGAAAAACAAAATCACTTCCCGGTGATCATAATTTATTTTGTATAGTTGTTGATGTTATCACAAAGGACCATGCAGATTTAGATTTCCGAGATTTTGGTAAACGATCATACACCACGGAATACTAGTAAAACGCTGATGCCAATCGATTGAATTGCTGTTACTAGTATGTTGTTTTGCGATTTTCTTGAAATTGAAAATGTTGAAAATTCTACTACTGTGGCGATTTTGGTTCTCAGTGTTGTAATTATCAAAATCAGGAATCCACCGGAAAGTAGTTTTTTTGAGCATAAAAACGTATTTTCCAAGTTTAGGGAATTTTCATAGAAAAAGATTATCTTGTTTAATTTGTGTTATGGTATTTGTGGTTTTCTATTGAAAAGGCCCTAACGTTCTTGCTGGATAATCGTCGGAAAAAATCGCGCAGTTTAACCGGTTGGTTTTCCTCCTCAGGCGACTTCAGCGAGGGGGAAAGCAGGGAAAGGAAAAGGTAAAGGCGCTGATGCTTATGGAAAAGGGAAAAAAGGAAAAGGGTAATAATTAACTATTGTGGTCGGGAAAAAGATCCTAAAGTAGATAAAATAATATGAAAAAATTCTACCCGAATTTTCGCATAGCTGGCTTTATTTTTTTTGTTGGGGAAATTATTGAAAATCGAGGTTTCGAAATGGATGAAATTCTCACTTAGTAAACAAGGAAAAGTAAAATTTGGGAAATCAAAAATGTACAACATTAGCACTCAGCGCTGGTGTAAAAATGGCAGATCGCAAAATTTGGGGATTTTACAAAATTTCACGCAAAAGTCATTTTAGGGGAAAATCGTCGTGGTGGAATTTGTGATTTTTTTAGAGATTTTTTCCCTAGTTTTCAGCCGTTTTTTCCCAGATTTTCTCAATAATTTTTTATTTTTTTTCGTTTTTTGGTAGATCCAAAGGTGGAGAAGAGCCGAAGGGCGTCACGTCGAGAAAGGATGATACCGGACCTGCGGGAAGCTCGTATGAGGAGATTAGTGCTGGAGGAATATATATATATATATATATATATATATATATATATATATATATATATATATATACATATATATATACCTGCTTTCCTCAGCTGAGCTCAGGAGTGTACAGAAAACAAGGATAATTTTGCGGAAATTTCCTCCCAGAATTTTCATATTTTTGCCATCATATGTAGTTGGCTAGGTTTACCACGGAATGGATTTTTTTTCAGAAGCAAAGTTGTTATACGTCTACTACCTCCATCAATAACTGAGGACCAGCTGTGGCAGTCTATACCGGAGGGGGTGAAGGGAAGCATAGTGTGGCGGTAGTAAAGGTGATGGAGTTTTAAAATCCGTTTTACGTGAAGTGGCGTGAAAAACGCGAGTAGTCGTGAAATATATATTTTTCACTAGTGTTTGCATATCACTAGGGTGGTGACACTTCAATGTATTACGGTGCTTCTATGTATTCGGTCTTACTGTTTCATCTGTGTGGATTTTTTGCATCCTACAAAGGAAATGAAAATATTTTCGTCGTTATGGACAGCTCGGGAAATTCGGGAGGTTTGCCGCGGCGCTCGGGAGTATCTTGATTTTTTTACTGCTAAATCGTGTAAAAATTGGAATTAATTTCCAGTTTTTGCACTGAATTTTTTGGATTTTTTGGAAATGGTGTTTTTTTTCTGGGAGCGGATTTTCCATATTATTTTAGATATTTTGTAGCGGGGTCTCAGCCGAAGCGGCCAACAATTTCGGTGCCTGCAGTCAACAGTCGATGCTATCTCGAATTCGAGACGAAACAACAGGCCTTTGATTTCGTAAATTCTTTCCACGGTCACAAATTCGTCGACCAGGTAAGCGGA